GAGGTTGGAATATTCTACAATGTGGTTGTGGGTGACAAAAAAATTCTGAAATAACTCACGGTGAAGGAACACTTTTCTTTTAGATGATTAGGTATTTTAGTATCTGGCGTTGCCTACGGCAGTGGTTAGACCGAGGCCGTCCGAGATCTATTTTTTTTTCTTGTCTCAATTACTACCTCGTCTTATTATAAGCAGCAATTGTAATAGTGTCTTATTTGAGACAAATAAAGATGTTCATCATCTTTATTATTACTATTATATTTCTTTTCTCTAGTTTATAAGAAGGTAATACCCACAGCAGGAATTGTAATAATTTCTTATTGGAGACAAATAAATATGATCATCATCATTATTATTATTATTATTCTTATATTTCTTTTCTTTTCCCTTCTTTACTCTGGTTTATAAGAAGGTAATAAACAATACCAATTACCCACAGCACCAATTGTAATAGAATAGAAATAATCTTTACAAGCACTTTTGAATAGTCATATTTTGATTCTACCACTTATTCGGAATGCAGGTTCATCACAAGAAGAATGAGCAAGAAACTTGTGTGTTGCTTTTTTTAATAGATGTCTTTTATATAAATAATTACCGTGTGAATCTCAACGAGGTGCGTGGATGTATTCGTTGTAAATAATTATAAAACACCAAATTGTAAATTAAATCGTAATTATATATATATTTATTAAAATGTTGATATAATTAGCGGTGTAACAAAATATTGAAGCACACTAAAAAACAAATGACAATAGTAATATAGAGAACACAACGTTCTATATTTGAATATTATAAGTAAATTATAAAAGAGGTTTTAACACTTATTTTTGTTGGAGTTTCCAACAATTACAGCAACGCACTCATTATTAGTGTAATCACATAATATTGTCAGTGCTATAGATTTAATGATTTTCTATAAACACATTATTATCGTTAACGAATTCTTCAATTTCATAGTAAGCGTTTTTGCAAAGGAACTGTTTTATTTGACATTTAAATCTTTTTTCTGGCAGATTTATAACAGACTCTGGTATTTTATTTTAAAACCTTACGCAATTGCCATAAAACAAATTACTAACTTTAGCCAAACGACATTTAGGTAATATCAGTTTGTAATAGTGTTTTATTTCAGACAAATAAGGATGATCATCAATACCCACAGCAGCAATTGTAATAGTGCCTTATTTGAAACAAATAAAAATGATGACGATTATTATTCTTATGTTTCCTTTGATATCTTTTTTTTACCTGGTTTATTAGAAAACACAGCTTATTACTTGAGATAAATAAAGGCGATGATGATTATTATTATTATTTTTGTTTCTTTTCTTTTCTCTTCTTTTATCTGGTTTCTACGAAGCTAATACATTCACCCTTAATATAATAATAATCATAATAATGTGTGGCCTAATGCGTGAAGGTCGGAAATATACAAAATATAAAAGTATTTGTATATTTTCGGCCTTTACGTATTCCCCAATTATCGCGATATAGCGAAAATCAAATCCGAGTCAAATCAAAACTACCTATCAAATGATATAAACAGCTATACGTTAATTTTATCAATTGTGTAGTGGCTGTTATCATGACACGTTGGCTGAAATCAATCAATTAGATTATCTGGCCGCATTCGAATGCTAGCCACGAGGACTCTCGATTCAGAGCTATATATGTTGTACTGTATAAATATACTCTCGCATTTTAACCGAGGTTGATTTTAAACAAAACATCTACGTGATTTTCTAAATTCTGTATATTATTATCGATATAATATTCTATTACACAATTTATATTAGTACACAATTCAACATTTCCAAATGCATTTGGAAATAGAGAGACAAGTATTTCTTTTTATGAATGAAAGTTATGAACATAAATTTGTTTTATGTAATTCAAATTGCTATTAAGCTGATGGTAGTCTTGATGGTAAATGGTAACCGTCACCCGTGATACCACTCATGGGTTGGTATCTCGAAGGAAGACATCATGTCTGTGTTTATCTTATAGAGAGATGAACTTTTCAGCATTCCAATTAGATTATCTGGCTACATTCGAATGCTAGCCACGAGGGGCTCTCGTTTCAGAGCCAAATATGATGTTGTATTGCATAAATATACTCTCGCATTTTAACCGAGGTAGACTTTAAATAAGAGGATGTATTGGAATTACCCTTAAATAAATTCAAAACATCTGAAATCATATTACTGAGCAAAGCCTATTACACACTAAACGATTACTTGAATGACGTTCGTGCATGGCAATAGTTGTTCATGCATGAGACTTTCATTTAATGTTAGACATAGACAGGTATATGAATATACATTGTAAATAAAAAAAAAGTAATTCAATTGAGTTTCTTGCCAGTTCTTCACAATTGGATCTATATACAGAACTGGACGGTAGGGAAAAAATTAACATTAAAATGTAAAATATTTGAAATTCATAAGCGGCTAAAATGGCCTACATGAATGAATCTCTGTGATCTTGTAAATTTTGTATATTATTATAGTCATACTTAATTCCTTAATAATTTATTATACAATTTATATTAATATAATATTTCAAATGCTTTTGTAAATAGAGAGACGAGTATTTCTTATTACAAATGAAAGGTATGAAGGAAATTTTTGAAAATTCTATTTTTTTAATTTGATTGAAATTGCTAGTAAGTTGACAATGTAAATGGTAACCCATTTACCATCGAGACCAGTCGTTTATGTACATGAACAGCATTTCACCTTATCATTTGACGCCCCTATACCACTTTTGGGTTGCCATTCTGGATCTAAGATATCATGTATTTTATCCTATAGAGATTAACTAACTTCTCAGAATTCCATGGATTCACGCTGCTGGTGTCGGGTCCATCGCGTGGTATAGAGGGAAACTCCAAGCGGTTCCCGGGACTTGTGATCCGGTGTAGCTTTCAGGGGACAGACAGACAACAGCGACTTTGTTTTATACTATGTAGTAATAAATAATACAAACATTGAGAATATGAAACAAATTATAGTGTTATGTTAGGTACATAACACTAACAATACATAACACGTGATGAATACCTAGAAATAACCATAAGAGAGTATGATTCCACTTGGAAAAACATCAATACCGCTCATGGCCACTATAGGAAAATAACTCGTGAAATCAACTAGAGCCGGTACTGCCTCTTGTATCCACTATCAACAGACTGTATTTAGCGACCCTCGACAAAGGTCATAACATGTCACCTATAAGTTAGCAGTGGACGCTCCCATAAAATGCAACACAGTAAAATAAAGCCTTTATGTAATAATCGATGAGCACACGCTACTCGTAAATAACATTATATCTTTTTGAGCACTTTTTTTATTAAAAAAATAACAAATGTTATTATACAATTTTAGAATATAAAAACGACATATTGAATTAAATATTATACAATTTTAGTAATTAAATATTATGGGACACAGCCACCTAGATACATCAAAATAATAATTGCATTTAATAATGTCTAGTAAGACAAATTCCATATTGTCTACTAGGCACTGCTGTATCTAAACTGTGTCACCCCATCTTACATTTTCCTATTTTTATTTAGTATATAAGATCATTATTTTTATGTACATATTGTCAGTTTATCATCATCTGTAATATACATCGTCTCGACCAGCAACATCTTATTATTTACCCGCAACAAATATATACAATTTCAAATTATTAATTAAGATTACTATTTTTATTATTATTATTATATAAAAAATCCTCTCCCTCTCTCTCGTCCTCCTCTCTTCTCTTCCGCTTGCTGTGCCCAACAGGGTCCATAATTAACCTACTTTGAAATGTACCTGTCTATCTATTTACTGTAAAATTATGGAATGCAAAGCTTAAATAAATAAACAAATACTGGCTACTCGTTCCGGCTTCTCACGGGTGTACATATATTATATATATAAACCTTCCTCGTGAATCACTCTTTCTGTTACATAAACATCTTATCTAATTACACACCATGTTTAAGAGATTTACATAATGATTTCGTATATAAATAAATACGGAATTTTATTGGACGCCCAAATTTTCCGGAAAATGTAACGATATAGCGGGCACAGCTATATCTTATATATAAAAATCTAGTGTCACAGTTTTCGTTCCCATACTCCTCCGAAACGGCTTGACCGATTCTCATGGTATTTTGTGAGCGTATTGAGTAGGTTTGAGAATCGGCCAACATCTATTTTTCATCCCCCTAAATGTTAGGGGTAGTCCACAAATTTTTTTTTAATTTTAAGGCAAAACAACGTTTGCCGGGACAGCTAATAATATATATATATATACATTAGACTCTGTTTTCCGCATTCAGCCTTTCAAATGGGCCGTTATGCGTGTTGAGCCGAGACTACTAGAGTAGCCTAGAGTAGTACTAGAGTAGTAATTATAGAACAAACCGAAGAATTCAATGATTTGTAGTGCATCCATGAGAAGATGGGATGGGAGTCGTTAAGTATATACATACATACATATATGTTTAACTCTGTTTCCTCTCATTTGGGCCGCTGAGCATGTTGAGCGGAGACTACAAGAGTAGCCTGGCAGGAGCTTCTCCCGGATCTCTAGTCTACACATATAAATAAAATTGGAGTATCTGTGTGCAATATTGAAATAACCAATTTTTACTACATGCATAAGAATATAAATACTGTACATACAGCAAAATATTTTTTTTTACAATTTTTGTCTCACTCTCTGATTGTTCCGGCTAATCTCTGAAATGGCTGGACCTATTTTGACGGGACTTTTCTTGGCAGGTAGCTGATGTAATAAGAAGTAGGTAATTTAGGCTGCTTTTATTTTCGAAAAATAAAGTTAAATTCCATGCGGACGAAGTCGCGTGTACAGCTAGTAGATATGAAATGTCAGAATAAATCAAATCCTTGTAATATTTTGTGTTTACTAGTAGCGTTAGTTTTATTATTATAACTTATAATGTTAATTACTTAGTGCGTTTTGTTTTCCAGTTGACCCTCATGTTGGAAGGTGCTTCACTCCATTGCCATGTGGGCATACATTATAGCTGCCGCCAGGGGAGATTCCCGACACTCTGTACACAAGCGTAATTCCTCTGCCAACGTCACAGAGGACCATGTATATGCGTGAGTTTAATTTCATACAATAAAACCTATGTAAATTATATTTTAAGGGTAATAATAACAAAATAATCATCTATCATGGTATGGACATGTAATGCGTAGGAATGAAGATCATATCTTAATGAAGGTGTTACATATGAATGTAGATGGTTATAAGGGCAGAGGAAGACCGAAAAAGAGATGGATGGACTGTGTGAAAGTTGATATGGTAAAAAAGAGAGTAAATAACGAGATGACTGTGAACAGAGATGAATGGAGGAGAAAACTGACCCAAATAAATGGGATAAGGAAGAAGCAGATGATATGAATAACAAAAGAATCTAATTATTAAGCAGAATTTGTAAGAAAAAATCGAGTATTAAAAGTGTAATTCTTCTGCCAACATCACAGAAGATACATACATATGCGTGTGTTAAGTTTAATATAACAAAATTTATGTAAATACTATTTGATGGGTAATAAAAATCTAGTCGACTTATCATGCCTGCCGAGGTTTTCCCACGAGACTACAGCATGGGGTTTTTCAAGAAGGGTATATTAAGGTTTCTTAAGGGTCGGCAACGCGCAAATGATAACCCCTGGTGTTTCAGGCGTTCATAGCCTAGGTAACCATTTACCATCAGATGGGCCGTATGCTTGATTGCCACCATCATCTGCTTCTTCCTTATCCCATTTATTTGGGGTCGGCGTAATATGTTTTTCGCTTCCATTCATCCCTGTTTGCAGTCATCGCGTTATTTACTTCCTTTCTTACCATATCATCTTTCACACAGTCCATCCATCTCTTTTTCGGCCTTCCTCTGCCCTTATAACCATCCACATTCATTTGTAACATCTTTCTTAAAATATTATCCTCGTTCCTACGCATTACATGTCCATACCATGATAGACGATTACTCTTGACTGCCACCATAGTAGTATAAAAAAAAAAGCCGATTTTGTAAGGAAAAATTCTACTGTCAGTTCTTCAAACGGTAATTTGCTTTCGTGAGTTCTATTTAAATAAATTCAGTTTAACCTAATGAATAAATCTATCAAGAGAGACGCGAAAAAACTTGATTTATAAATCGTTTACTTATTATAATTTAAGCGAATTTAACATGGAAATATTGCCCTAATTTTTTATAACATAGGGGTCAAACTAGCTTGCGGCTCACCTGATGGTGATTACACGCGGTTTTACCATGGAAACATTGACTTTTACTTATATAAAATAGGATACACTGTTCGCGGCTCACCTAATGGCGAGTGACCGCTGACCATGAGCACCCGCAACACCAGGAGAACGCACCAGCAAGTGCTTTGCCTCTCGAGAGGGAATAAGCTCTTTTCTTGAAGGTTTCAATATCGTACCACCTGCGCTAACACTGGCGGGGCACCAGTGGAGGATGATAAGATGAGCATGCGATCAGGTCAGTTAGCTCATCGTGACAAATTCAACAATAATTTATCACGATGGCTTCCAGGGGGAGCCGCGTGAAGGTCAACCTGACATGGTACATTGCTAGCAATGAGATCATTAGTCCACATTACTAACAATCCCCATTCCTCCCTATCGTAACAGTTCAGAAATACCATCGCTGAAAGGTGACTCTACAATGTGGTTATGAGAGGTGCCAAAAAAATTCTGCCTTTCAACCAAATAATCAGGATGCTGAAATTTAACAGCTAGTAGGAATCCGAACAAATAGTTGCTTTAGATTAATTATGTTAGGAAAAAACTTAAATAAATACTCTAGCTGTAAATGTACTAAACGTATTATTTATAGTTATTCTGGTTTAAAGTTAGTTAACATATGATATAGTAGAATGTAATAATTACAAAACATCGCAAGGTAGAGGTTACAAAATCAAACATTGCGTGCTTGAAATAATTCCCTAATCTACAGGGGTCAATTAATTCTTTCGAATTAGGGAGGGAAACTGTGTACCGAATGTTTTGCTGCTACTTTTGGATACGTGTATTGTTACAAACTTTTTTTTTTTTGATGACAATGGAATGGTGCACCCGCCTGTGCTAACGGTATACGCTGGCGGGGCACCAGTGTTTGATGATAGAATACGGGGTGAGGTCGAGTCAGTTAGCCCAAACTTACGCAATAAAAATAAGCTAATTTTACCTAAATGCCGTCTACACAAAGTTAGTAATAAATTTTATGGTAATTGCATAAGATTCTATAATAAACTACCAGAATCTACGCTAAATCTGATAGAGAGGCAATTCAAATTTAATATTAAACAAATGTTATGTAAAAAAGCATAGATGAATTTATAGATGATAACAATATATAGCAAGAATAAGCTTATTTGGGGACAACGTTATAATTTATTTTACATACTGATTTCTTGATATATGATAGCGTAGCGGCTTTCGTATTGATTGCCGCATGCATCCTCATATAAAGTGGGAATAGTGTAACTACCATATAGTAATTTTTGTAGCTGTGACGTGGTCGTGTGGAATGAGTAGTCATGCTCACTAAAATGTCCAGACATGTGGCGGCGTGGTGGACCGGGTCATTGGGCTCCCTTAAATATGGTCGAGCGCAGTGATGGCTGGTTCATCCGTCATACTCGTGAACGAGTGCTGCTTGTAGGGACTGGTCTGCTTTTATCATTACGACTGATTTAATCTTATTGTATATTTATATTTAACCCAAAAAAATTAGTGCTGGTTGGTAGTTTGTATTAAAACGTTTCGACTAGTAAATGTAAACTTACAAGGATTATTTAAAAGTGCAACACACAAGTTTCTCGCTCGTTCTTCTTGTGATGAGACAGCTTTCCGAACGAGTGGTAGATAAAAAACAAATTATTATGACTATTCAAAAGTGCTTAAATTAAGTTTAGTTGAATAAATGATTTTCTATTCTATTCTATTCCTATCGTAGTAAATTCTCCGTGAATTTATAACGATTATTTTCATGGCAAACTACATGGAATTCAATCTTACATTGTGCATTACAAGCAAAATAAAGCAGCGTTTGGGAAGCTTCGATATATATTTTCGTCCAAATTTCCGCAGTGTCTCAAGACGAAGGTCTACGACCAATGTGTGTTGCCAGTGATGACTTACGGCACAGAGACGTGGTCGCTAACTATGGGCCTCATGAACAAGCTCAGAGTCACTCAGAGGGCAATGGAGAGTGCTATGCTCGGAGTTACTCTGCGTGATCGAATCAGAAATGAGGAGATCCGCCGAAGAACCAGAGTGACCGACATAGCCCGAAGAATTGCGACTCTGAAGTGGCAATGGGCAGGGCACATAGCTCGTAGACTGTTGGGGCAGTAAAGTCCTCGAGTGGCGACCACGGACTGGAAGACACAGCGTGGGAAGGCCTCCAGCAAGGTGGACCGACGATCTGGTCAAGATCGCTGGAAGGGATTGAATGCGAGCAGCGCAGGACCGATCGTCGTGGAGATCTTTGCGAGAGGCCAATGTCTAGCAGTGGACGTCTTCCGGGCTGCGATGATGATGATGATGATGACATTACCAGCAATAGAGTTTATTAGTTCATATTACTAACAATCCGCTTCCCTATATTCTGTCCTCCGAAGTTTTTAAGTTTATTATATAGTATTCAATATAAAAAAGGTTGTTTCTTATTTATAGATTGTTTTTGTTATAGGAATGGTATATTATGGTTTCTTACGGATCGGCAACGCGCACGTGACTCTCCTGATGTTTCAGGCGTCTATAGGCTACGATAATTGTTTACCATCAAATGGATTGTATGTTTGTTTATTACCTAAGTAGTATAAAAAAATGCCAGTCTTTGTACTATATTTTTTTTATCTTTAACCTGATTTGAATATATTTATTACTAGCTATATCCGTGGTTTCACACGCATAAAATTTATAGCCTATATGTTATTCTAATATATAAGCTATATTACAGGAAAGTTTCATCAAAATTTGTTCAGTAATTTTTGCCTGAAATAGTAACAAACATCCATTCATACTCACGAACTTTCGCATTTATAATATTAATTAATAATAAGATAATATTTACATTTACTAAGGAACGTATCTCATTTTTAACTAACTAGTTATTACAGTCTTCCGTAATATCTTTTGTATACCAAAATAACCGATCGTGTTTATATCAAAATCTATATATAAATAAAATTGCAGTGTCTGTTTGTAATATTGAAACAACCGTTTTTCCTACATGCATATGAATATAAATACGGTACATACACCAAAATAATATTTTTTTACAATTTTTGTCCATCTGTCCGACTGTCTGTTTGTTCCCGCTAATCTCTGAAATGTCTGGACCGATTTTTACGGGACTTTATTTGGCAGATAACTGATGTAGTAAGGAATAACATAGGCTACTTTTATTTTAGAAATATAAAGTTAAATTTCACGCGGACGAAGTCGCGAGTACAGCTAGTAGTAAATATAACAATAGACATAAATAGCTATATTTTAGATCTGGATTCCGTTTGCGATCTTGGATGCTGGGGATGCTGGACTGTGTGCTGCATTCCAACAATTCAGTCCTGTGGTGAACCGTTGGAGTGATGGTATGGCTCTAATATTCGGTGTCGACATCCATTCTGGTATTTCCACTATTTGCCTCTTGTTTTGAATAGAATAGAATAGAAAATAATTTATTCAAATAAACCTACATTGAAGCACTTTTGAATACTCATCACATTTTTTTAATCTACCGCTCATTCGGAATGCTGTCTCATCACAAGAAGAACGAGCAAGAAACTTGCGTGTTGCTCTTTTAAATAATTATATTCTTAATTTACATTTTTATGTTTAAGTGTGTGAATACAAACTGCCAATTAGCACTAATTCAATTAAATACTCAAATAGAAAAAATATTTAATATACAACCAACTGGTGAAACAATTAATAAGAGGAAATCTGTCATAGTGATTAGAGCAGACCAGTCCCTACAAGCAGCACCCGTTCACGAGTATGATATTAGGTTAATATTATTATATTTTCTTTCAATCATTGTATTCTAGCCGTGCTTGCGCCTTAGTCGACTAAATAAAGAAATAATATTTAATAATCTATCTCAAAACAACCATAAAAACTACGACTGATTTATTCTAACTTAGTATACAGTAGCTGTTCCCGCGACTTCGTCCGCGTGGAATTTAACTTTATTTTTCTAAAATAAAAGATTTTTTCGAAAATAAAAGTAGCCTAAGTTACTCCTTATTACATCAGCTACCTTCCAAAAAAAGTCCCGTCAAAATCGGTCCAGCCATTTCAGAGATTAGCCGGAACAAACAGACCGACAGACAGAGAGACAAAAAATATAAAAAATGTTATTCTGGTATATGTACCGTATATATATTCATATGCATGTAGTAAAAAACGGTTATTTCAATATTACAAACAGACACTCCAATTTTATTTATATGTATAGATTTATATTTGACCCTAATAAATTAGTGCTAGTCGATAGTTTGTATTCACACGTTTCGACTTATAAATGTAAACTTACAAGGATTATTTGAATGAGCAACACACAAGTTTCTTGCTCCTTCTTGTGATGAGACAGCTTTACGAATGAGCGGCAGATTAAAAAAAAATGTATGACTATTCAAAAGTGTTAGTAAGTAAATTTATTTGAATAAAAGATTTTCTATTCTATTCTATTGTAATATAAAATGTTTGCAACGGGTAATCGATCCCGCGCTCATTAAAAGTAACCGACCACCGAGGCCGTTAATAAATAATATTACTATTTTTATAGACCATGTGTATTATTTAACTAAGTAAGTTATTTTTAACTATATATCGAAATAGGATTGCGTCATTTTTTTAAATCTCATAGTGTAGTTCATACAGCTTTATAGAAGCATAATATATATGATAAAAATATTATTGCTTCTGCTTCGAAGCATCAGAAGTATCTCAGCGATTCAGTTTCTAATATAATGTATGCTGTCAAGATGTTTATAAGCGTGTTCAGAAATAGAACGATCGACAGTATCCATTCAGTTACGGTGTCGTGTTACAGAAAAATAACCCTTATTGTTAGTACATCAAAGTATATATTACCTAACATTAGTGTGGTGTCTAGTGTCTTTCAGTTTCTAGATAGATCCGTCAGTCTTTGATGTTGCTATTGTTTGGAGTGATAATATTGAAATTACATTGGGGACTTGTAAATAAAGACAGGTACACAGCTACATATATATATAGTAGGCTACAGTCCACAACAGATAATAAAAGTTAATATTCTAAAAGTATATCATATGAAGAATCTATACATATAAATAAAATAGAAGTGTCTGTTTGTAATATTGAAATAACCGTTTTTTACTACATGCATATGAATATAAATACGGTACAGACAAAAATTTAAAAAAATGTTATTTTAGCGTCTATTTTTTATATATATGTATATTGTGAAACTTGTCATATTTTGTTCATCTATTGGTATAATAATAATAATAATCTCAGGATAATTCACACAGCGCCATCTAGTTAAGCTAAGCTAGCTAAAGCTTGTGTTATGGGTACTAGACAACTGATACGAATACATAGATTTTTTTTCATAAATACATACATTTTATACATAGACCGATATTTATAAACAATCATACTCATGAATACAAATGTTTGTGCCGTGCGAGGAATCGAACCCGCGACCATCGGACGTAAAGCGGTGTGCTTATCCGCTAGACCACCGAGGTCGTCCGTAGTTACCATACTCCTCTGAACGCTTGACCGATTTTTATGAAATTTTATATGCATATTCAGTAGGTCTGAGAATCGGCTAGTATCTATTTCTCATACCCCTAAGTCATACCCCTAATAATGGTTGTCCACCCCTGACATTATTTTTGGGGCAAAAGTTTTATTTATATTTTTTTATTATGTGTCATTAAAAAATACAAATTTTCACTCGCCTATCACCTACCCCTATTCTTTTATAGCATTATTAATTTATATATCAAAACAACGTTTGCCGGGACAACTAGTATACCTATAAAAGTGTTATTTATTATATTTTTATAACTACAATTAAATAACCGCATTGCTTTGTCAATAACAGATCTATTTTCAATTTACCACACGTCAAAGAGTTATTACTACTTACTACAGATTTTATAGCTATTATTGTATATCATACTTTTATAGGCACTGCCTTTCGCAAATGTTGGCCGCAGTGGCAATGTTTAACTTGATAATCTTTAAAAATTAAAGATTGACTCTGTTTTGCTGTAATAACCTTACTATAAAAGTGTTACTCATGTGTTTAATTATGGTGGGTGACCCATGGAAGGTTGCCTTAACGAATAATTAGTTTTTATCACTTCACTTACTGGAAACATATTATTAATTAATACTTTGTTTCATTGTGTAACATATCTACTACTTCATTTTATTCCATATGGAATCACTATTTAATAATCTTAACTTTTATTAAACTCGTCCTAACGGCCTTGCAAGGAACAGCGTTCCATACAAGGCCAATATTATAAATCGCTCATTCAACTTAAAACTTGAGTTCTAATAATCAAAATATCTGCTTTTTTTAATACTATATGAAAAGATCTTTCATTGATACGAAAAATTAAATGTTCAAAAAATTCATATTTTCTTTAAATAACTCAATAAACATTCCTTAAACACCATCGGATAACTAAGAATATATGTATGTAAATTAGTTAAAAATTATAAAAATAAGTATTATATCAATAAAAAATAAATAGCAAATTTGCGTTTTAGAATGATATTGTAAAAAAAATATTTGCCAACAATGGCCTTCTTGTGGGTCCGTAATTTGTAAGGCCAAAATGTTCCTTAAAATCCCAAACTGATATTTATCATCTCAAATAACTTTTTCTTTTAATTAATATATGTAATAATAGACATTACAAATACGTACTGTATTTATAATTAAAAACTATGTTTAGTTTTATGATTTGTAAATGTTCTCTGTAAGGCCTACATACCCTAGCAAGGCCAATCGTCAAAATGATTAATTTTGACGATTGGCCTTGCTAGGGTATAAGCTAGGGTAGGGCCTTATAAGGAACCAACAGCATTCATAGGAAACCCACCGATATTTTAGCTGAAATCGAGGCAAAATTCTTATTTTTCTTATTTTGTATAACCAATCCATATATGACAAATTTAAAAAATATAATAATAATATGTTATTTTCAAGAAAACTTACCTTTGGCTTTGCGCGCGAATTACAATTTTCGTCGACGACCGAAGTCTATTAATCGAGGCCCTGTTTACACTCAGCCCGAGTGGGCAGGGAGCTGAGCACGGAAGTGAGCAGCGCGAGAGTGTAAACACGATACTTCCCATGCCATTGGCGCTGCCACTCGCGCTGCCCGGCGCTCCCTCGATTCTCGGTTTTTTGTGCACGAGAGTGGCGCGAGTAGCAGCGTGTGTTTACATTCAGCCTTCTCACTCAGTTGTTGCCGGCAATATTTCCGGTAGCGCGGCTGAATGTAAACGTAGCAAATCCATGGACCGTACTTACAAAATAGCGACTCTAGCGATTCGCCACCGCGTCTATGTACTTACAATAACTAGTACTAGTAGTTTTTTATAGTTGGCCTTCAAAGGTGCATGGCCTTCCATGGTGCCTTCCTTAGGTGTTATTGTATACACTCATATCAATAAGGACAGGTTGACCTTTATCGGTGTTTTTACAAAGAGATGAACCTGGTTTATCACTATTATTGACTAAACAATTCCAACGAATTATAAGTTTAGATTTTTTAAATATTATTAAAGAAACTACGCCCACTTCGCATAACGCTTCTGAATGGTTACTCCATAATCTATACATATAAATAAAATTGGAGTGTCTGTTTGTAACATGCATATGAATACAAATATGGTACGTACACCAAAATAACATTTTTTTACAAATTTTGTCTGCCTGTTTGTTCCGGCTGAACTCTGAAATGACTGGACCGATTTTGACGGGACTTTTTTTGGCAAGTAACTAGTGTAATAAGGAGTAACTTAGGCAACTTTTATTTTAGAAAAATAAAGTTAAATGCCACGTGGATGAAGTGGCGAGTATAGTTAGTCGCAAATAAAATTAAGAAGATAGTTTAGTTAACAAAGATTATCTGTTACAGATACCGCGATGGCAAAGTATTTACGGTGTCCAGTTCAACGAGTTCAAATCCGGGTCCATCTGGCCTAAACTCAAGGGATATGCCCAAGAGTCCCACGTACCCGTACAAGAAACATCTGTCGTCCTCGACCCCCGATTCGTTGCATATGCATACAGAATTCAGAAAAAATCACCTGGAAGACGGCATCGAAATTGAAGCTTATGAAGAAGTAAGTAGTAGTTATTTTCGAATAAAATCGTTTATGCATATATGACCTTTTAGCTACTTATGAACGTTAAATCTTTTGTATTAATATTTTTACCCCACCGTCCAGTTTAGTATACAGATTCAATTGAGAAGAACTGGCAAGAAATTCAATTTAATTTTTGAAAAGCCAGTTTGTGTTATGAATAATGCTTATAGAGGGACAACCATTGATACCCACGTTTTTCATTTGTTTTTTTTACAAAAACGTTTACCTGTTTATATACTCGCCTATAACATAACAATAATAATAATTTCAGGACAATTCACACAGCGCCATCTAGACCCAAGTTAATTACTGTGTTATGAGTACTAGACAACTGATACAAATACATTTTTTTTCGTAAATACATACTTATTATGCATAAAACAACTAAACAGATAGAAACAATTCTATTCATGAAGTCAAATGTTTGTACCGTGCGAGTAATCGAACCCGCGACCATCGGACATAAAGCGGTGAGCTAGATCGCTATACCACCGAGGTCTAGAATCACTCTATGTATTAAAAAAGCCGCTTCAAAATCCGTTGCGTAGTTTTAAAGATTTAAGCATACATAGGGACAGCGACAGCGACTTTATTTTCTACTATGTAATGATTGTTGACAAGTTTCTGATATACCTACTCACCTAATTGTGAAATAGATAAGTAAAGCTTAATAAAGTAAAATAGAACGGAACGAGGACCTGTCTACGTTGCTGTTCTTACTTGGCCACGTCTATCAGATTAAAAAAATTATAACACGACAGACTCTATACTGCAGTATTATAAATTTTTAAATCTTTTAATTAATTTTCTGATAGACGTGACCAAGTACGAACAGCAACGTAGACAGGTCCTCGTTCCGTAATCTGATCGATATATTGCAATTTTACTTTATGTTTGAATTACTGGTACGCTTAGTCTACGAGTATCATAGAGTAGTTAGGTACTCAAACAGAGATTAAAGTATAGATTTTCCGCTTTATACTTACCTACTATATTTTGACGACCTCGGTGTTCTAGCGGTCTAGCACACCGCTTTACGTCCGATGGTCGCGGGTTCGATTACTCGCACGCCACAAACGTTTGTATTCATGAGTATGATTGTTTGTATCGGTCTGGGTGTTTTCTATGTATATTATGTATTTACGAAAAAAAAATCTATGTTTTTGTATTAGTTATCTACTACCCATAATACAAGCTTTAGCTAGCTTAATTTGGGTCTAGATGGCGCTGTGTGAATTGTCCAGAGATTATTATTATTATACCATAAAACTTATGTATTTATTATATATCAGCCTATATATAGAAACACATAGATGCAATACAAAGTTATTGACTTCTAATTAAACATTTTCAATATCTAAAGTAGAGTATAATAATTATATTAAAATTAACAGATAGTGTCTAATCTATTCATATAAATAAAATTGGAGTGTCTGTTTGTAATACTGAAATAGTCGTTAATTACTACATTCCCTGTCCACTCGGGCTGAGTGTAAACGTAGCAGATGGATAATAAAAAATAACGACAACATTATATTATATTTCGTAGATTTTGTATAGAGTCACGATGGGATGAGTTTACCAGAGAATTTTCATATGGGACGATGATAGCGTATATTTATAGATCACTTGTTCTAGTTTTATTATATCTGTAAATATAGGTAAAAAGATTTTTTGCCACGCACTACCACACTGTGGAATCACCATCCAGCAATGGTATTTCCGAACCGTTAAGATATTGAAACCTTCAAGAAAAGAGCTTTATTCTTTTTAAATGGCCGACAACGTACATGCAATTCTCCATGCATAATCACTTACCATCAGGTGAGCCGCATGCTCGTTTGTCCCCTGTTTTATAAAAAAAAGAATAAAGACTAAAATGAAGTAACTAAGAAGAATGTACAATAAAAGGAACTACAGTATTTGAATACAAAATACATTCAAATTCAAAAATCATTTATTCATGTAGGACATTTTAGCCGCTTATGAACCTCAAATTTTTACATAATAATTTTTTTCCCTACCGTCCAGTTCGGTATATAGATCCAATTGAGAAGAACTAGCAAGAAACTCAATTGAATTACTTTTTTTTAAAAATCCAGTTTATTTACAATGCATAGGTATTTATATAGGTGTCTATGTCTAACATTAAATGAAAATCCCGAACATGAAAACTATTGCCATGCACGCTCGTCATTCAAGTAATCGTTTAGTGAGTATAGGCCTTGCTCAGTAAATATGATTTAACAGATGTTTTGAATTTATTTAAGGGTAATTCCAATATATCCTTTGGTATCTTATTGTAAAATTTTATACCTATTCCCATAAAAGACCTATTGACTTTTTCTAAACGATACTTGGGGACATCAAGTTTGTCTTTAAATCTAGTATTAATATTATGACTATTGCTTTGTTGATTTCATTTGTGATTAACCAGTTACAACAGTACTAGCTATGCCCGCGACATCTCGTGGAATAGAAGGCCAATAACGAGTTTTCATACAAACTTTGATCCCCTATTTTAATTACATCTTTAGTGACTGTGATAAGGCGCATCATCATCTTATTTATACTAGATGAAAACCCGGCTTCGCTCGGGTGAAATGTGGGTAGATATTTCTGTAGTCATCAGTTCTCATGAAATATTAAAAGTAAGCAAGGCATAGATTTGTAAAGCTTCGTTCATTGTGTTTAATAAATATAGTAAATAAAAAGTACAAAAGATTTTATTTTTTTGTAAAACTTTAAGTTAGACTATAATTGGCTTGTATCCAGGTCGTAAAACAAATTAATTAAAAAAATTGGCAAATTTGTCTCGCAATCAGGCAATTACAGGTTTAAAGAAAAAACACATACTCTTTTATCATAAAAAAGTGTCAAAAACAATATTTTCGCGAAACGTCAATGACCGAAGAAAATGCTAGTGAAATGAAAAGATGGCGACTGCGGTTTGTTTGTCAGTGTCATTAGAATTTAACGAAATACTCCATACTCCGAATTTTGCGGATATATGTTGTCGACTCGAAATCAATATTTTTATATGTTTTGTTATTCACATAAGGTTTCGTTGGAGTCTACCTTACCCCTTGACGAAATTATTAATATAGATGTGTAGTTTGTTTATATTATATATTATATGTTTATATGTTATATTTCATTATTTATGATATTTATATCTATTTAATATATTTTTAATTAATTTAAACCGCCATCGACTATGTCTATACTCCCTAACGTTGGCTGGTAGAGAATGCTAGCTTTACGCCCGCCTATTGTACAATGCAATAAAGTTTAAATAAATAAATAAGAAAAAACTAATCCATCACATTTAAAATAAGGAATCATGTTGCTAAGTAACAATTGATACGTAACCTGCAACTGTAATCGTAACGTAAATTATATTTGCTGCTGTATAAGTATAATCCAGAGGTGGCTCAACTGAAGTGCTTGAATATTATACGCACTTAATTGTTTGCTAAAATAATCGAGAATATGAAATTGAATATTCTTGGATACGAATCGATGTACATTATTCTTCTGTCATTCACAGTAAACGATTACAGCTAGTGTAATATCATGTTCTTGCAATACAACCAAACATGAGGTATGTCACAAATTCATAACTGTTCCCAGCCTCCTACGACAGCCTATTTCTCGCACCACATCATTTTCAGTGACATTATGTATGGCTCTCTGGTTTCCGTCAGCGTATCGATCGTTCTAGAAGCATAGACAGACGAATTACATCGATGTATTCTAGCAAGCGATCCGACAAGTTATGCCAGAACACAGATTAAGTGCTTGTAAAGGAAATCCCTACGTGACAGTCGATCGAACATTCTAGAAGCATAGATAGACGAATGACATGAATGTATTCTAGCAATATGACTACAAGCGTCCAGCAAGTTATGGCAGAATACAAATTAATTGGTTGTAAACGAAACACCTACGTCACACTCAGCAGTTTGACAATATTTGTCAATGTTATAGGAGTTTTATATAGATTAGATAATAGTTTTAAAAATCTATACAATATAGGATGTATTCATAATCGATAGTCCTGGATAGAGAATAATAAGTCGTTGTGATATAGAATTACTTTGAAGTTATTTACATATAAAATTAGTTAGTACAGAATAGTTAGGGACCTAACACCACGCTGACCACTTTTGATCACTTTTTGTATGTAATTATATATATACATATATTTATTTAGGATCACCAACAATTGTTACAATCATACAATTAATTTAATTACATGCAATGGATTATGGTCTAATTTTACAATTATTTATAAGAACACGGCATGCAAAATAATATACAAAAGTTATATAAAAAGAACAAAACAAATCATAATTTAACTGTTTCTTTAATTTATGATTTCTTTTCACACAACTAACTTTAATATTTTTTTACTTTTTATTTATAATTAATTATTTTTATTTATAATTAAATATATTTTTGTAGTATTTATATTTTGACGTTATGTTCTTCTTTATAGAGATTTTTTTTTACTTCGTTTTTTCTCCTGAACTTTATTTTACTTATCTTAACTTTTAATCTGAACCTTTAAATTTGTGTTTGTTCACTTAGGCTTTAATAAATATTTTTTTTTTAATTACAATTAATATGTTTTAACAATGCAACTCTATATGCAATAACATATAAGAAACTACGTGTTTTCATTATATAACTGGTCTTGCCATAAATGTTGTTACAAGGAAAAACTTTTATTTTCCTATTGCCTATATCTAACATTTATTACTCTAATATATGTTAGTTAACATTAAAAATATATATAAAGCTTATTTGAAGTGATATCCATTGGCTGTAATAATTCTTTTTTATTCACACACTTATTCCACATTTCTTTTATAAAATCACGTTTTTTTCTGTTTTATACGTTATGTTATGTGCCTGAAATTGTGAATAAAGAATTTAAGAAGAAGAAGAAAGTCAGATTTATCTATCTATCT